AGAAGAGGGTGTATTGTTCCTAAAGAGAGCGCAATCTGCGTGTCTCAACCACCATTCAGGATTCTCTAAACTTTCTCTCTAATAATAATATTTATTTGTTGTTTTTGGTTTATTATTAGTTTGGTATTTGTATTCCAAAAATAAATCCTATTTAATTTTTCTAACAGTAGATTTTGGCTCGGGAGGGGTACCATTGAGTTAAAGCAATTGCACGATTTATCACAATCCAATTGAACCTGATTTCGTTGGGGGTTAGGACGACTAAAGATTAATGTGATTCCAAAGTTATATATTAGGGTTATGCTTGAGTTAACAAATCATTTTTATTTTTAAGTGATTTTTGTTATTTTTAATTATTAATTCTATTTTTTTGTTTAGTTCTGAATATGATAATCATCATAATTTAAAATACGATCACATGGGTCCATAAAAGATGAGAGTGAAATTACATTAAGAAGCGAACACAAACAAAAGTAGAGATAGAGAGGGTCATAGAAAGAAACGAAAGGGAAGAGAGATATAATATAAAATTTATAAGAGAAACTTTTAGCAAAATTAAACATTTAAAGTGACAAATTACGGAGATTTTGTTGAAAAGAAAAAGTAAAGAAAAGAGGAGGTAAAAAGATTTACGGGGGCACTTGAAACTTCAAAGGTGTAAATTCAGAAAATATTTTTTTAATTAAGGGTGAAAGTTTTTAAGATTGAGGAGAGGCATGTCACTCCGACACTGACTGTATATGATGCTTTTTTGAATGCAATGAGAACATTTGAAAGAGTTGTGTATTTCTAGAATTGTGTGCAGTTTTGTTGTGCAGTTCAAAAATCAAGTTAACAAATTGTTTTCAAAGACTGTTTTTAACAAAATTTTATGAGAACAACCACTTTTTAAGAAACACCAAAATGTTTGATTTTGAAAATTCGAAACTATTATTTTAGATTATTGTTAGGTTTAATACCATCTCTGTTTGTTGCATGAAAGCAAATTTCAGATGGTCCAGCTATTCATTTACTTGAAATTTCTAAATAACAAGTTAATTTGATTTTACTTACCCCCCCCCCAAAAAAAAAAAAAAAAAAAAAAAATTTGATTTTTTATATGCATGTGTATATGTGCATGTAGGAATGTATATGTAGTATGCATTGTGTACTATGGATATGATGCTTTTTTGAATGAGAACATTTGAAGTTGTGTATTTAAAAATGAACTTAACAAATTGAAGTTTCAAATAACAATAACTTGTTGGGTGTCCCTGGAAATGTAATTTCCCTCATGCTTCAAATTTTTTCTATCTGGATGTACTTTTTCACAAATATATATGTATATATATATATATATGTGCAGAACAGCAGAAATGTTGTCCACAAACTTTCCTTGGAATTATTGTTATTTATTTTTTTCATACATATTTATGCCTTTGCTTATTCTGGTCTTTCCCTCACTTGCCAAGGTTTTACATCTGTGAATTTTGTTTTCACTGCTTATATTTGTGAAAAAGAAACTAACATTTATTTATTTATCTTATTATGATTATTAATATTATCCTCGATTCATCATTACTTGGCGTTTGTGAAACACAACCCTTGGAATGTGCATGCTCAGAGAAAAATTCTCTGATTAAATGGTTAATTGTGTAACATTGATTTATCAATAACAAGAAGAAAATGGACAATGATTGTTAGGCACTTACTATATGTTAACGAGTAGTGGACATTGTGTGGACCTGGTTTTTAAAGTGAACAGGGTTGTTTTATGTCCAAGCATGTGCTGCATCTGTTTCATTAAATTTTCCATCTAACATAAGCATCTTGATCTGTTGTCAGTTAATTAAGATATAGAATGTTAAATGACTGTCCTAGATTCAATTTTCTTATTAAATTATTTGTTGACAGAAGGCTGTTCATACGGTATTCTGTTCCACTCTTTTTTTACAAGTAATTACAATGAGAAGATGGCATAAAAAGAATGCCAGCTGTATACAAAAGGAATAAAGAGAAGAAAACAAATCCTGGACACCTCCATGTGTATAAAAAAATTTCTACAAAATTCAAAGATTGTCATGAGAAGGGTTTGTAACACCTAACGCTCAATCACGATTTTAAATACCGGTATCGAATACATATCAATATCGGCATATATTGGTATCCAAAATCCAAAATCTTAGTACGTATTAGCCAATACTTAAAACCCAGCTCCCAACTATACAAACAAACAAACCAAAAAAATAAAAAAATTTAAATATACGTTTCAATCTATGCAATGGAATTTCTATGCCATTGAAAGACCTACGATTCCTCTCTCCCCAAATAATCCACATTATGCACATGTTTGGGATCCTGTTTCTCTTGCAACTACTTTGCAAGCTTGGGATTTGATCATATTATCTTAGGCTTATAAACTATATGCTTAGGTAGATATTAGTATTACGTGTATTTATAGGCCAGGCTAACTCACCAGTTCAGCCCACAGCCATATTGATGAATAGCCAAACCAAAGACATGGGCCTAGCTAGATAGATGCATGTAAATTTCAGGCATAAAATCAAACATTTTTTTGGATATCATGCCTTGGGACCCAAAGAGCATGTTCAACCAGCCTTAAAACCCGTTCTTTTTTTCAGCAATACTTGTGTATTTAACCTGATGCACTAATATACACTGACAGAGAAAATTATTTATCTAGAATTGAAGGCACTTGATATTTATGGTTTGCTACTCAATATTTGACTAAAATGAACGATTACGATCTCAATAATTCAGAATAGCCCAGGTTGTTGCCCTTTTTTCTACTGGCTCTCATTGATCGTTATAAGTTCTGTGAACTGTCATTAGTTAGATTCTTTGATAAGCAAAGCTTATTTGCCACATATCATCTCTACCTGCAGATGTAGCTTCCTCTAAACCATAGGGTTACAAATTTTGAGAAAAGAGCTTTGTAGAGCTCTGAGATACACAATCCTAGGATTAGAAGTATGTTGTACTACTTCTTGATTATATAGTTGTTTGGTCTTTTTTATTTTTGCAACTGTGTGTGCATTGTGTTAAAAATTGATGTATTATTGATTGATGTATGTTATATATTACAAATGGTGAGGGGCTCCTTATATAGGAGATGCAGTGGAGTAGGTGGTAGTAGGTGGTAGTGGTAGGTGTGTAGTAGGTGGTAGATGTGTTATTGATTGATGTATGTTATATATTACAAATGGTGAGGGGCTCCTTATATAGGAGATGTAGTGGAGTAGGTGGTAGTAGGTGGTAGTGGTAGGTGTGTAGTAGGTGGTAGATGTGTTATTGATTGATGTATGTTATATATTACAAATGGTGAGGGGCTCCTTATATAGGAGATGCAGTGGAGTAGGTGGTAGTAGGTGGTAGTGGTAGGTGTGTAGTAGGTGGTAGATGTGTTATTGATTGATGTATGTTATATATTACAAATGGTGAGGGGCTCCTTATATAGGAGATGCAGTGGAGTAGGTGGTAGTAGGTGGTAGTGGTAGGTGTGTAGTAGGTGGTAGATGTGTTATTGATTGATGTATGTTATATATTACAAATGGTGAGGGGCTCCTTATATAGGAGATGCAGTGGAGTAGGTGGTAGTAGGTGGTAGTGGTAGGTGTGTAGTAGGTGGTAGATGTGTTATTGATTGATGTATGTTATATATTACAAATGGTGAGGGGCTCCTTATATAGGAGATGCAGTGGAGTAGGTGGTAGTAGGTGGTAGTGGTAGGTGTGTAGTAGGTGGTAGATGTGTTATTGATTGATGTATGTTATATATTACAAATGGTGAGGGGCTCCTTATATAGGAGATGCAGTGGAGTAGGTGGTAGTAGGTGGTAGTGGGACAGTTTACAGAGTCTTGTCGGACCCCTAAAAAGTCGCACCCTCAAAAGGTGTGCCCAATTTTTCAAAAAGGCGTGCCATCAAAAGGTGTGCCCAATCTATAAAAAGGCGTGCCATCAAAAGGCGAGCCCAAGTCATAAAAAGATGTGCCGGACATGATGGCGAGGACGCGTGACCATCTTGGTTTGCGCGCCTAGGCTGTCGTTTGGCATCAAGTGGCGCGCGATGCGTGTATCGGCCCTTGGCTATTTAACCAAGACGGAGGCTGAGGCGAAGGCAGAGGCTGAGACAAAAAACCTGCGAAAATCCTTTGAAAAACCTCTTCCGTTTCTGAGAAAGAGATTCTGGAACACTCTGTTGCCCAGAAAATGGCCTCGTCTTCCCGTTCAGCTACCCAGAATATGGCCTCTTCGTCCCGTGGTCTGCTCACTCTCTTTCCCGACCTCAACGAGTCAACAAGAGAGATAACTGGTGCGGTGGCCAGTGAACCTCAACCAAGCGCCTCTGGTTTTGCTCCGTTGAACTTTCCGATGTGGTCGGTGGAGCAAAAAATGGCGGTGCAAACTGATATTGAGGCCAATCAGTATACTTTGAAGTCATGTGTGGAGACCATGACGGCGATCACAAACCTGTCGCCCCGGCTGCAGAGTAGGACAAATGAGGTGCAGCAGTTAAACGCCCAACTGGCTCTGCTCCAGCGCATGTATAAGGATGCGCGAGCAGAGATAAGTGTGCTAAAGGCGGAAAATAAGGAGCTGAAGCGGAAGGCCACCGTGATGTTCCGATTTGGAGGTCCACCATATGCTGTAGTGGAGGAGCAGGAGGGAGTGAACATGCTCGGTGGCGTGGGAAATACGGAGGCAGCACCGGCAAGGGCCGCTCAGGACGGAGGCAAGAAGAAGAGACCGGCGGTAGAGTAGAGAAGGGATGTCGGTGTGTGGCCGTCTGCAGAAAAGAAAACAAAGCCGTTGTTGTCGTGGGTGTTGAATTTGCGTTTTTTTTTTTTTTTTTTTTTTTGGCTGATCAGGGTTGATCCCCGGCATGAAGAAACAACAAGTTTGTGGAATGATGATTTTTGTTTTTTTTTTTTTGTTTTTTTGTTTTTTTTTTGGGGAAAAGTAAGGGAATCGAATAATAAAAAAAATATGGAGATGGTGATGAAATGATAAGCATGGTGATGATATGAATTTATAATAATGAATAAAAATAATAAAGGATGGAGTGGGGAACAGGGTGAATCGAGAGCACCAATTAAGTTTTATAATAAAAAATAAAATTTGGGCGGTGGATGGGTGTGATTAAAAAAGAAAAGTAAATTGGGTGTGCCCCTTTCTCTTTCTTACGGAAAAATGGTGAAGGAAACAAAATGTATAAACTAATGAAAAGAAAGCAAAATATATATGTGTTTGTGTGTGTGGGGTTTTGGATTCTGAGTATGTACATAATAATAATAAAATGAATGAGGAGAGAGAGGGTTTTATGTTTAAAGAAAAGAAGAGTGGGTAGATAATAGTAAAATAAAAAAGAAACGAAAAGAGGGGACAAAACCCATGTGATAAAGTGGAGAGAGAGAGAAGAGGGTCAAGTCCCTCCTGTGTCTTTATTTATTTTTGTATATCCATCTTTGCAGATCATCCTCTCACCACCTCGCCTCTGATTTTATTTTATTCCCTTCCTCTTCTAGCCGAGAGAGAGAGAGAATGTGAGAGTAGAGAGCAAACACTGAATAAACACAGTGTGCAGAGTATCCAAATGAGGAATTAGGGTTTCCCCTATGTACTGCGCCAACTGCGCGAAAATCAACAGCGCCGATTCGCGAAGCTTCGGATTGTCCGACGTGACGCACTGGAACATAAACGGCAAGAGCTTCGGCCAGCCACCGTCAGGCAAGATCGAAGAAGCGAGCTCTGAAATGGATTTGAGGGTGTGTTTGCATGCAGAGATTGAAGAGAGACTCGGCGCTATGAATTTAACCGGTACTGCTACTTGAACCCCGGTCCATGGTGCTGCCAGTTCCCAGGTTAGGTCCAAAGCTCGATAATAATTCAAACCTCCAGTAAAGCCAGTCTGCTCATATTTGGTAGCATAATAATCAACATCTTCTTCGGACAACCAAGAGGGAAGGGCAATTGGAGTATCAGGTGAATCTCCAAAGCCTTTGCCCTTAGGCAGAAACAGTGGACCAGGATTACGATAGGTCAGAAAATTCTTCAGAACTCTTTTAGTACCCATCTCAGGAAACTCAGCTTCTATTTCTCCAGGTTCCTGAAATCTGCAAATGTAGTAGTCGTTTCCATAAGTGGCATGCAAGGCCGCAAGGGGCTTCCACTTAGGGCTTCTGCGAGTGAATACAACACTCATGTTCACCAACGCTGTCACTTTGTCAGGTCTATACAAGCAGAGAGCCCAAGCGATGATCGCACCCCAGTCAGGGCCGACTACGAACACCTTGTCCTGGTCCTGCGCGACGGCGTCCAGCAGCGCCACCAGGTCCCCCACCACGTGGAGGTTTGTGTAGGCGGAGGCGCCGAGCGGTGCTCCGGTGGACATGGAATTTGTTAGCAGTAGCAACAAGAAGATCAAATAATTTGTGGCAGCGGAGTGAATGTATGTGTAGCAAAATTCTAGCGGACTAGGTTGAGGTCCGGCGGGCGGCCAAGGCGAGGTTGCCGCCCGCTGGTGACGCGAAAAAAATACTAAATCCTTAACCTTGCTCTGATACCATGTTAAAAATTGATGTATTATTGATTGATGTATGTTATATATTACAAATGGTGAGGGGCTCCTTATATAGGAGATGTAGTGGAGTAGGTGGTAGTAGGTGGTAGTGGTAGGTGTGTAGTAGGTGGTAGTAGGTGGTGGTAGGTGTAGTAGGTGGAGTAGGTGATGGTAGGTTTTAACACATTGTCTAGTTTATGTCTATTTCTTCTATCCACGTTATGTAATAGTCTAGTTTTGTTTAGTTAGAATTTCCAACTATAAATTAATACCAAATAGTTCCCCATACGAGATGTTCATAATTATATTTATAGCCATGGTACAATAATGTCTATGACTGGGCACCTTCCCTAAAAAATAACCCTAGGGAAGCATAAAATTTGGGCATTTGCAAGGAGCCTTAGGCTCCACTTGTTGAGAAAGAAACAATTGATAGAAAGTGAAGTGAAAAAAAGGAAAGATAAATGAAAATTTATTTTCTTGTATGCATTTGAATATGATGAAAATTTTGCAAGAAAATGATAGAAGTTAAATCACTGCATAATAGGAGTTGTGGAGGGAAGCATGAGTAAAGAGGAAAATAGAATAAGTATTGTCAAGTTTTGCGGAAAAAATAAAATTTCCTATATATTTTGCGTGAAATCAGAAGCCTTTTTCATTACTTTCTAGGACTATCTAAACCAACACATAAAAAAATAATTTTTTTCTTTTTCTTTTTCTTTCACTTTCTTGTATTCTCAATCTAACCAAATTGAGCCTTAAGGACTACTACTGTTATACTTATCTACATATCTCCCCTTTTTTTTCCTCGTGAAGGTTACTACTGTGGAAAAACCTGATATTTTCTTTATTGAATTTCTGAAAGCAGTAATACAAGTGTATATATTGGACAAGCCCAGCACTAGCACTAATTATACCACTAACTGTGATGAGTGCCTAACTACCTCAATGCTAACTCAACCTGAGTTGTAACAGCAAACAGTTACACAATAATATCTACACAATGTCTTGAGGATCAGTAGTCTCTTCAGTCCCCCGCAAACAAATGGGTGAAGGAAAGACCATGAGTTTGGCAGAAAAAGAGTGTGAAAACGAGAAGCAGACAAGGGCTTAGTGAAGATATCAGCAACCTGGGCTTCAGTGGGAACATATTTGAGTTGAATAAGCTTGGCAGCAACTTTGTCGCGAATGAAGTGACAATCAATTTCGATGTGTTTGGAGCGAGAGTGAAACACGGGATTGGTGGCAAGAGAAAGAGCTGAGAGATTATCACAGTAAAGCAGTGGAGCAGATGACTGAGGAATACCAAACTCAGCAAGCAACATAGTCAACCAAGTAAGCTCAGCAGTAGTATTAGCAAGAGAACGATACTTGGCCTCAGTCGAACTACGGGACACTGTGGGTTGCTTCTTGGAAGACCAAGAAATGAGATTAGACCCAAGAAAGACACAATATCCGGAGGTGGATTTGCGATCCTGAAGGTCACCAGCCCAAATGGAATCAGAATAAGCCTGTAAAGAGAAAGACCCAGGAGAAAATGAGAGACCATGAGAGAGCGTGCCTTTCACAAACCGAAGAATACGTTTAAGAGCAGCAAAATGGCCAAGAGAAGAGGCATGCATGTGTTGACAAGCATGATTGACAGCATAGGATAAATCAGGTCTGGTGATAATCAAGTATTGCAAAGCACCGACAAGGCTGCGGTAAAGAGACGGCTGAGAGAAGGGCAAAGAAGCACTAGGAGACACAGGAGACTTGACAGCAATAGGAGTGGAACAAGGCTTACAAGATTGCATCCCGGCCTTGACTAGAATCTCAGAAGCATATGTTTGCTAGGAAAGAAAATACCCCTGAGAAGAAGAGTGAACAGCAATCCCAAGAAAGTAAGAAAGATCACCAAGCTCCTTCATAGAGAAAGCAAGATGTTTGATCAATAAGAAACTGAAGCTGAGTGGGATTGTTGCCGGTGAGCAAAATGTCATCAACATATACCAAGAGATAAGTAACAGAACCAGTAGTGCGATGAACAAATAGAGATGTATCACATTTGCTATTGACAAAGCCTTGAGACAACAGAAAAGAACTAAAAGTAGAATACCAAGCGCGTGGGGCTTGTTTCAAGCCATAGAGAGCCTTATGATGCCGACAAACATGAGAAGGGAGAGAAGCATCCTCAAAGCCAGGAGGTTGAAGCATAAACACTTCTTCATCTAATCGGCCATGTAAAAAGGCATTAGAGATGTCTAACTGTTTCAGAGGCCACTGATGATGAAGAGCCATACAAAGAAAAATCCGAATGGTAGGGTGCTTGGCAACGGGACTAAAGGTTTCATGAAAATCAAGACCCTCTTCTTGTAAATAACCCTTAGCAACCAAATGAGCCTTGTGTTGGGCAATGGAACCATCAGAATTGCGTTTGATGCGAAAGACCCACTTGTAGCCAATGACATTCTTGTGAGGTGGAAGAGGAATCAATGACCAAGTACCTTGTTTTTGTAAGGCAGAAAACTCATCTTTCATGGCTTGGGTCCAAAGAGGATTGGTAAGAGCAACCTTGTGAGAAACAGGTTCAATATCAGAAGAAGAAGAAGGGGAAGAAAGGGAAGAAGCAGATAAGAGACAAGTGGAGGCAAGAGTTTTGGACCGGGTTTGCATTGGATGAATATTGGGCAAGGATGGAGAAGAAGATAAGGGAGGCAACTGAATAGAAATGTTGTTAATAGGAATACCAAGAGGAGAAGTGGCAGGAGAAGCAGGAACAGAAGCTGCAGGGGAAGGTAAAAGAGAAGAGCTAGAAGAGGTGGCCCAAGACTGTGCTGCAGGATTGCCAAGGACAGGAGCAACTGAAGCTGGAGGAGAAACAGTGGCTGAAATTGGAGGTGAAATATCAGGAGAAAGAGGAACAGTAGAAGGAGAGGACCAAGAAAAAGGAGGACTAGGAGTGGAAACAGAGAAAGAAGAAGATTCGGATTTATGAAAAGGAAACACAGTTTCATGAAAGACAACATGACGAGATATGTAAATACGACCGGTAGATGGATCCAAACAGCGATACCCCTTAATAGAAGGATGATAACCAAGAAACACACAGGGAAGTGATTTAGGAATTAGTTTAGATGGAAAATATGGTTTAAGCCAAGGAAAACACAAACACCCAAACACTTTTAAGATATTATAGTCAGGAGGACGATAATAAAGCATGTCAAAAGGAGTGGAGTGAGCAAGAGAAGTGCTAGGTAAGCGATTAATAAGATAGGTAGCAGTGGCTAAAGCATCAAACCAAAACTCAAGAGGAAGGGAAGAATGATGTAAAAGAGCAGTAGTAGTCTCAGTTAAATGTCTATGTTTGTGTTCAACGACGCCATTTTGGGATAGAGTGTGAGGACAAGTAGACTGATGAAGAATGCCATGTTTAAGAAGAAAATCAGCCATTTTATTCCTAAAATATTCTCCACCACCATCTGTGCGAAGCACAGTGAGAGGAAAGCCAAATTGTTTTTCCACAAAAGCTTTAAAAACAACAAATTTGGAAAAGACCTCACTCTTGTAATGTAAGGGAAAAAGTCAGGTAAATTTGCTATATTCATCAATGAACAAAACATAGAATCGAAAACCAGATACAGATGGGGTAAAAGGGCCCCAGACATCACTGTGTATTAAGGACAGTGGTTTATTAACAGTAGAAGAAGAAAGCTGAAATGGAAGCCTAAGACTTTTAGAAACAGAACAAGAGATACAATGTGTAAGAGACTTAGTAACAGGCACATGAGGATGCAAATGTTGAAATTTGAGAGAAGACGTATGCCCCAACCTGTGATGCCAAATAGAGGCTGAGACAGATGAAGTGGTGCTGAGAAGCGCATGAGGAGAAGACAAAGCTGGAGGAAAAGCAAACTGGTACAAACCATTGACATGGAAGCCTCTATGAAGTATAGCTTTCGTGTGTTTGTCCTGGACAATAAAAGCATCATGATCAAAGGTAATAGTGCAGTGATTGTCTTTAGTGAAATGATGAACAGACACAAGGTTAGAAGAGATGGAGGGAACATGTAAGAGAGAATTCAATTTAAATGAAAACGGAGGTGTAGGAAGGATCCCTTTCCCAGTATGGTGAATAGGAATAGAGGAACCATTACCCATAGTAACATGCTCAGATCCTGAGTAAGGATGGTAGACACTCAGATTGTTGAGATCATTAGTAATATTGTCTGTAGCCGCAGAATCAAGAAACCAAGGAGAAATAGGAGACTGTGAGGAAGAACCATGACCATGCTCAGAAGTAGAAACAAAAGCTCTAGAACTGGGCCCTGGTAACTGTGAAGCAGAGGAGGAGAAATCGTGCCCCTGTGACTGTGAAGCAGAGAAATCAGGTGGTGGATAGCCAGGATCAAGCCGATGCCAACAGTCAAAGGCACTATGACCAGATTTGCCACAAATTTGACAAGAAGAACCAGAGGAAGCACGACCACGATTGGGAGATCTGCCACGGAAGGAACCACGACCAGGCTTATAGAAGCGCGATTCACTACGATAAGAAGAACCTCTGCCCCTCTGAGTGGAAGCAAAACTCCCACGAGGAGATGAAGAAGATAACCTTGGAGAAGAACCTTTGAAAGCAGCATAAGCAACAGTAAGATCAGAGGAAGTTACCTTACTCTCAACATGTATTGCCTCAGAGTAGAGCAAGGAAGATAATTCCTCCATGGATATACTCTCAGCACGAGCTCGGATTGCAGTTTTGAAGGAATCATATTCAGAGGGAAAACCGTTTAGGGCAATCAAAACAATGTCCTCATCATCAATCGAAGCAGATGCCAGATGCAATTAATCAACAATGTCCTTAATGCGATTCAAGTATTGCTCCATTGAATCTGATTTCTTGCTAATGGAGGTCAATTTGTTCTTCAATTGGTGGATATGGGACCGTGAAAGAGAAGTAAACCATTTATCCAGAGCTTTCCAGATTTCGGAGCAAGAACGAAGATGAAGAACTGATGAAAAAATTGAGGGAGA